GTGGCCATGGGGACATGTCCCTTCCCTGCACGGCTGCCACCGGCCTCACTGCAGTGCCTGTAACCTGGGGGAGGCCGGCGGCCTTGGGGAAAGGCCTGGCTCTCCTTTCCAGCTTTCATCAGATAAGACACTGAAACCCAAATAGATTAGATACTGTGCTAAGACTCCGGTAATTAACAGCGCCAAGGCCTGCCTGGCCTGGAAGCCATGGGTAAATAGAACATATCAAACAGAATTACCCACCAATCCCTCCTAATGCACTTGGAGCCAGGCCCGACAGACATGTTAACATTAATATACATAGTCTTATTAAATGAAGGTCATAAAAGCTGTCAAAGACGCGGAGATGATGAACTACCAGCCCCAGCAGGCATGGCGACAAGAGGAGGAGCGAGCTGGATTCCCGGGATCCTCCATCCTCGTGCATGAGGAGTGGTGGAAATCCCAGAGACGGGTCAGAAAGTCAACGCAAGCCACGGACACAGAGAGGGGATTTAGCCCTAGAAACTGAGGAGCTGATGAGGAACAGACAGGCCTTGAGGGCCCAGATGCTCAGCCAGAAACACGGAGAGGATTCAGCCGCTCCCAGGTGCCAGCTCAGAGCCCCATCACCAGCCCCAGCCCAGTGTCCCTCGACGCAGGACCCGTCCTCGCCGTCCCCACGTACCTTGGTGATCTTGGGCTCGGTGCAGCGGCTGTTGCCGGCGCTGGCGTGCATCCAGCTGCTCTCGTAGGCCAGGCAGTGCTGCCGCAGCGAGCAGCGCTTCTCCGTGACGCACCAGCCGCACTCGAAGCGCGGGTCGGCCTTGAGGCACAGCCCGCAGCTCTCCCGCAGCGCCGAGCACTTGTACAGGTGGGCTGCAAGGACGGGCACAGCGCGGCACGTCAGCACCGCGCCGCTTTCAGGGAGCCCCCCGAGGTGGCCAGGAGACACCAACACCCTGGAGATCATGCAGAGCGTCTTGTAGGATGCAGGGCTTCTTGTAGCAAAGTCTCGTATTTAGGGAATCATGCAAAAATGAACACGGATACAACCTGGGGCTGGGGCAGGGGACACGGGGCTGCTTTCCCACCAACCGTCACATCCCACACCTACCCTGGATGTTCTGGGGGTTATCAATGACGAAATTCCCATTCCAGACCACAGACAAGTTGACTGGCAGGTCGCTGATGTCATTCCCTTCGTAGAAATACTGTGGGAGGGCAGAGAAAGAAACAGAGTCAATTAAATGGCAAAGCAGTACAGCCCAACAAGAGGCATGGAGAGGTGTTTGAGACCATAAGGGAGCTCAGAGGGTTTCCAAATAGACCAGAGGTCTGAAATGGTTGAGCAGACAACTGCTCTGAAGCCACATGTACCTTCCCCAGCCACAAGCTGGAGCCTCGTGAAGGGACTGAACCCTTTGTCACATCCACTGTTGACCCTGCAAAGTCACCGCCAGCTTCAAGAGTGCCAAATGACACAAATTACATGAAGCCAGGGTCTCATGGCTGGGTGCTCCGGAGCAAGGCTGGAGAGAGCAGGGCGGGATGTCAGTCCCCACGGAGCTCTCAGCAGCTCCTGCACCACCGCTCCAGGTCCTGCTGCTCTTACACTGCTGGTGAGCAAGGGGATGATGGAGAAGATTCAGGTCTCTCAAATTGAGGGGACCTGGGACATTCCCCAAACCCAAGCTCCTCCGCCAGACTCCAACACCGCTGCCATGCTGACGGACCCACCTCCTGGAGGCCCTTTGCTCCTTGCTCTCTCGAGCCCGGGGAGAGACAACATCCCAGCGGCAACCCCAGACCGTGTCGCTGGCGTGGGGCCTGGCACCAGCCCAGGGAGCCCAGCAGTGCCGTGACATCCCTCTCCCTCCTGCACAGAGCACAGCTGACAGGGCCTCCGCGCAGGCCAAAGCACCGACATAAAATACCCTCCAGCTGCACAGAGCAGCAGTGGCCCCGTCACGGGGCCGGGGAAGGCCTGGTCTGGTCTGGTCTGCTTGCCCGTTTCAATGCACCAATGCCCACGCCGTCCCGGGCGCCAGGCCCGAAAGACAGGGCAGCAACCGGCTGCTCCCGCTCCAGCGCCTCCTCCGCACCCAAATCCTTGCTTTCTGCCTTGCAACCCGAGCCCGAGCCCTGGCAGCCCCATCAATATTCCCCGCACAGCCTCCGCACGCAGGCGGAGAGGTTTAATCGTTACGGAGACAGGAAGGCAGTCGGAACCGTCCCTGACAGCTAATGACCTCCTTCGGCAAGAGATTCTCCGCTCCTCTCCGGAGAAAATGACAGGCGTGTCAGGAGAGATTAAATGAATGATTCATGGGTTGCTGGAGTTTGTTAGGGAGCCCGGCCGCTCGCGCGGCCCAGGCCCTGCCTCACGGCTCCGAGCGCGGGCGGCAGCGGCGCCTCCGGCACGGCCATGACCAGGCCTCCCTCCACCCCTGCCTCAGAGGGCCGAACTGGGCGCGGAGGCAGGAACAGGGCGTCCGGCGCCCCCGCATCCACAGCTATGGAAGCCAGAGACGCTCGTGTCCTTGTTCCACCACTCCCGCGGCGCCTCCTGCCTCCCGCCTGGGCAGCCTTGCGAGCCACAAAGGGTCGGACAGGGCACCCAAAGCGAGCGAGTGTGTGAGAGGAGGCAGGGCCTCCCCAGCGCACCCGCGCCCTGGCGCCGGGTGGCACCGCTGCAGCTCTCGGCCCCGGGGCCGCGTCACCGACACGCGGGGACGGCGACCCCCAAAACACAGTCCTCGCTGAGGAGGAAAGCGGCTGCTCACAGCGTGGTGAGACACCCAGCCCTTGTGGAGGAGCCCGCGGCTCCACCAAGAGCTGTTCCCACCGCAAACACGGGCCCGGGGGGCTGCAGCCGCAGCGCCGCCGAGCAGCCCTCGCCCCGGTCCCGTGAAGGCCCAAGCAGAACTGCACCCACAGCTACCCTTACAAGCAGATGAAGGCTATGGATACACCCAGCCGGACCACAGCGAGGGGTAGCCGGACCCGCCGGAGCAAGCGGAGACCTTGGCAGCACATGCTGGGGCAGGATGCGTCGGCGCCGGAGCAGGATTTAGCTGTGACGAGCCACGTGGCAGCGTAAGTGAAATTGGCATTTTCAATTTGTACTCTGACATGTCTCATTTGGGGCTCGGGCATCTTGGGAAGGCATCCAGCCTGCAGCTGTCCAAAACACTTATTTGCATCTCTCTGCCCCGGCTGCTTTTGGAAATTAGTTCTTCTGGGAGGTGGGTTGGAGGGTTGGGGGAGAAGAACAGAACAGAGGCAGGGAGCGTTAACGCTTCGTGTGCCAGGCCCTGGCAGCAACAGGTTGGTACAGGAGGGAACAGGCGCAAGAGACTGTTTGTGGGCGACACACGGCAGCCTTTAGCTTCTGCTTCCCTCTCAGCACCGATTAGCACTTGCCTTTTACCAAGCTTTTTGCAATGAGGGAAGCGATGGGCAGCTACCCACGTAGTGCCCTCATTAGGATGTAGTTCCCGTCTCCTGGCCCCCATCCCAGACTGATAAACCCTTCGGCCACGGGCTCCCCACAGCCTGACCCGCCTGATGCGAATCGCACCCAGGGTTATTGCAGGTCTCCCCAGCCCCAGAGACCCAAGCAGGAGCCCAGGGCACCAGCAGGTCCCGTCACGCTGGCTCCTCCCTGCTCCTCGCTCACGCAGTGCTAAACATCCATTAAACACTTAACTGTTATTAACATCCCAGTTAATCAATCGCTGTGGTGGGCAGCGACTTGGGAGGAGCTGTAAGAGGGGAGGCCGGGGCTGGAGCGAAACACGACGGGTTCTGCTCTGCAAACAGCTGTGCCAAAGCAGGAGGCAGCGAGGCCATGGGACAGGAATAAGAGGCTTGCTCGGGGAGCCAGCAGTGACCGGCACGGCCTCGGGAGCACAGGAACGGCAACGGGAACACGTGCTCGGTCCCCGCCGGGCACTGCCAACACATCTCCCCGTCACACGTCATGGAGTGAGGGAACAGCAGAGGCACGGGTGCCTCGGTTCCTTATCTACCCAGGAGGAGCCTTTGGAGCGTGGCCACGCCGTGTGTGATGTGAGAGCGTGGGGGGACACGCTCATCCCTCCAGCCTGGACACGGCTATTCCCACGGAGGCTCCTTTCTCCAGGGCAACGACTCAGCCGAGAGGCTTCCTCACCAAACCCTTCTCAAGATTCCTTGCCCCGAAGTTGTCTCCCTTGGAGACCTTCCTAAATCACAGCCGACAACCTCATGCGCCTCTCGCGGCTCCGCTTCTCCCACCTGCCCCATCCCTGCGTGTCCCTGTGCAGGGGCACCCGCTGGCCCGGGGCGAGCACACACTGGGGGCAGATCCCACCGAGACACAGCTCAGACCTATCCAGTGGGCACTCCTGGCCTCACGTTGAGTAGCCAAAGGTGCCAGCCCTCTCCAAAGCCCCATCTGCCCAAGGAGGACAGATCCCGCGGCGCGGGGCCGCTGTCGTGCCGGGGGCATCACCCGCGCAGGCAGCCTTGAAGGGATGCAGCATTGGAGAACGGACACGGAGAGGATGCTCCCCTGCGAGCTGGCAAACAAACCCATATGCCCAAATTTTCCTCACAAACCCCCCCGTTGAGGTCTTCCCCTCCCTCTCACACGCACCATCCCCCTGGACTGCATTTCTGCAGGAACAGTTCGGCTGCAGCTGTGTCCTATTTTTCTGTAGTTGATGACCTCAACTCCTTCCCTGCACTACGGGGACGGCAGTAATGTACATCGCGTCTCGCCAGGGCTCAACTGCAATTCATCATTATTTTATCTGCTGGAATTTAATTGGATCCTATCAAACTCTCCTGATACTCCCTTTTCACTTTAAACACTGCTGCAGGAAAGATAAATGTAGGCACTGCTAGGACAGAGAGCACGGCTTTGTTGGTGAGCGGTTCTGGGGTTGTAGACTCCGATGCTGTTTCCCTCTCTGCGGCTGGTTAATTAGAGATACACACACTGGAGGTGTGCGGCACTCAGAACAGGGCATGTGCCTGTGATTTATGTTCCTCTATAAATATACCCTAGGCCTGGTAAAATCCTGTCGTACACACAACAGCACATCTTGACAGCAATGCCCGGGCTCTGCTTCTG